CAGGAGACAACTTTCTGAACAGAACACCAACAGCTCAGGCACTGAGGTTAACAATTAATTAATGGGACCTCATGAAATTAAAAAGCTTCTGCAAGGCAACGGACACTGTCAATAGGATAAAAACTGCAGCCTACAAAATTGGAAAGAACCTTCACCAACCTTATATCCAATGTAGGGCTAAAATCCAAAATATATAGAGAACTCAAGAAGTTAAACACCAACAAACCAAATAACACAATTAACAAAAGGGATAAAGATCTAAACAACGAATTCTCAACACAGGAATCTCTAATGGATGAGAAGCACTTAGAGAAATGTTCAAGGCACCAGAAGCTGTGGAAGAGAGGAAAAGGGATGGGGCCTACCATAGAGGGTCCTCTGAAAGGATCCACCCAACAGGGGATCGAAGCAGATGCCAAACTTTGGGCAGAGAGCAAGGAGTCTTATGGAAGAAGAGAGGGGTAGGGAATAGAGGGACATGGAGGGGACAGGAGCCCCACAAGGAGACCAACAAAGCTAAAAGATCTGAGCCCAGGGGGTCCTCCAGAGACTGATGCACCAACGGAGGACCATGCATGAGGAGGGCCTGGACTCCCTGCTCAGATGTGGCTGATTGGCAGCTCAGTCTCCATGTGGATCTCTGAGAGAAGGGAGCAAAGGCTGCCTCTATTATGAACTCAGTTGACTGCTCTTTGATCATTCGCCCCTGATGATGCAGCCTTGCCAGGCCATGGAGGAAGAAGATCCAGGCAGTTTTGATGAGACTTAACAAGCTATAGGCAGATAGCCATAGTGGAGAACTCCCCCTTGGACTAGGAGAATGTGATGTGGGGAAGAGGGAGGGAAGGTGGGACAGGAGAGAGTTGAGGAAGGGGGCTTCAGTCGGGATATATAATGAATAAATTGTGAAGAAAAAATTAAAATTAAAAAAAAGGAATGTTCAATGTACTTAGTCATCAAAATGACTCTGAGATTCCATCTTACACCTCTCAGAATGGCCAAGACCAAAAACTCGATGAGGATGTGGAGCAAGGTGAACACTTCTCCATTGCTGGTGGGAACACAAATTTGTACAACTCAGTCTAGAGGGTTCTCAGAAAAAATGGGAATAGATCCAGCTCAAGACCCAGCTATTCTACTCCTGGGCATATACCCAAAAGATGCTCCACCATACTGCAAGAACACTTGCTCAACTGTGTTCATAACTGCTTTATTTGTAATATCCAGAAACTGGAAACAACCTAGATGTCCCTCCACTGAGGATAAAGAAAATGTGGTACATTTACACAATGGAATACTACTCAGCTATTAAAAACAAAGACACCATGTAGTTTTCAGGCAAGTGGATGGAACTGGAAAAGATCATTCTGAGGAAGGCAACGCAGACCCAAAAATACATGCATTGTATGTACTCACTTGTAAGCGGATATTAGCCATAAAGTATAGGATACCATGCTAATCCACAAACCCAAAGACGCTGAGGAGAGGCCTAGGGAAAAGGCTAAATCTCACTCAGAACGAGAAATAAAATAGACATCTGAAGTAGATGGAGGGAGGGACCTCTGGGTGGGCCAAGGGGCAGGGAAGGTAATGGGTGGGGATTAGGTGTGTGGAGAGTTGGGGTAGGAGGAAGACCCAGAGAGAGAACTGAGAGATCTCTGGGACAGGAGAGGCTCCTGGGAGTCTATGGGGGTCACCCTAGCAGTGGGTGAGAGACTTCTAGCAGCGGGTGTTAAGGAGCCGGAAGTGGCCACCTCCTGTAGCTAGGTGGGACTTCCAGTGGAAAGAGGGGGACACCAACCTGCCCATGAAACCTTTGACCCAAAATGTGTCTTGCCTACAAGAAGTGTAGGGGCAAAGACGGGGCAGGGATGGAGGGAGTGGCCAACAATGACTGGCCCAACTTGAGACCACCCCATGGGAGAAAGGCATCCCCTGACACTATTAATGACACTCTGCCATGCTTGCAGACAGGCGTCTTAGCATAACTGTCTTCTGAGAGGCTTCATGCAGCTGCTGTAGGAAACAGCGGCGGAGACCCACGGCCAAACAATAGGCTGACCTGGGGTGGGGGTGGGGTTCTGTGGAAGAGTAAGAGGAAGGATAGAGGGAGCCAGAGGGGTCAGGCACACCTCAATAAGACCTACAGATTCAACTAACCTGGACCCAGGGGACTCACAGAGTCTGAACCACCAACCAAAGAGCACGCGCGTGTAGCAGAGGTGCGGTGCGGTCAGAGAGCTGACAATGACTGTCGTCTACCGCCGGATCCCTTTCCCCAGCCGGGCTGCCTGGTCGGCCCCACTGGGAGATGAGCTGCCACTTGAGGTGCCTGGTGAGTAGACACCCCTTGGGGGCCTCCCCTTCTGTGAGGAAAAGGAGAGGAGGGATGGGGGAGGGGCACAAGGGCGAGGCTGGGAGAAGAGGAGGGAGGGGCTGAGACCAGGCGGTAAAGAGGTTAAATAAATTAGTCGATGGAAACACTAGCTCTCTAAAAAGACCAAGATATCTGTGGGAAATGAATGCTGGCTCAGGACCCTGTATGTCCAATGTCCATGGAATTATTTAAGAAATGCATAGGTTTGGGGATACAGTTTTGTGTGGGAGTTTGTGTGCAAGGACATGTGTCGGTGTGTGGGGTACACCGCACAGCCCTAGGTGGATGTCGGAGGGCAAGTTGTGTTCGCTGGTCCTCAGGTCATCCAACAATTGCCAGAGCCAATCATCAGGAATGAACTCAAAGTAAGCAAGTGAGCTTCTCGAAGATGGCCCACTGCTGTGATGCCTGTGGTGGGTGCACCTAGTAGGTCCCTAGGGACCTCATCTCTATATTGTTTCTTGCTACTGATTGCCTTTTCATGCTATGCCCCATATATATACACACATACGTGTACATATACGTCACTGCTTATACTCTGATGTGTCTGCTTTCCTCTGCCAGGCAGATTCTTGCAAAATCATGAGGGAGACGATTTTATTGCTCTTGATCATGACTCCTAAATCGATTCAAGTAGTCTTTTCGGCCCCTCCTGCGGAATAACTAAATCTGCTTGGAACTGTGATTTTTCACTCGACACCGACACATGAACTTCACGAGGGCAGAGACAAGCCTTTGACAGATGTGTCGCTCCGGATAAGCTTTTGCTCCAGAGATGGCACCATGGATCCTGGTCTGCGCCATAAATATAGGCCAGCTGGTCTGAACTTCCCATGAACCCAGAATATAATGGGGCAACCAAGAAATGTCTACATTAAGTACAAACCTTAATGTCAAAAACTACAAACTGTTTTGTTGTGTCATTCTAAATTTACATTGTATCTTGGAATGAAATACAGATAGAATTGTTGTCCTGAACTCACTATAAACTTAGAGAGAGCTGGAAAAATGTGTACTCAGGTCAATCGTAACAGGAAAGACATGTATCTTGTAACCTCTCGGGCCTTGTTAAACTTTAGGCCCTGTCGATGTTCGTCATTCTGAACTCACTAGGAACTTATGTAGCGGATACACGATAAAGTCTGCTGGAACTCGCCTCATCTATGGGTTTTAAATATGTATATAGGCACATGTTTGCATGTACATGCATCTGTCTATTTTGTACACATGTTACAGAATGTATGTTATCTGACTGACTTTATGTAAGGAGTTTTTTTGTATCATCCATTGAATATATGTATGAATATTTACAGATCTATATGTCTGGTTGTTTGTCTATGTGTAGGTGTGGGCTGATACTATGGAAATGGCCATAGCATCTAGTCAGGAAAGAGATTTCCCTGAGGACAGCCTGAACTTGTTGTAGTTTATGTAGAGGAGGTGCTAGCTGAAATCAACATTATCATCATATGTATACTTGTGGGTTAAAATTTCTTGTTTCATCCACTTTTTGAGTGAATGTGTATGCACGAGACTTCTTTTTCTTTTCTCTTTGGTTCACAAAGGGTTAATGGGCCTCAAGCCTCAACCAGCAGTGACAAGCAAAAACCCCAAGTCTCATCTTGGGCTCCTGTCTTCAGGAGACTCAAGACTGCCTATGAGTTCCCCTCCACGCCCACACAGACGGAGTGGATACCTTTACCTGTGAGCAAGAAGAGTGGATATGGAAACTGTGGTACATTTACGCAATGGAATACTACTCAGCAGTTAAAACCAAGGAAATTATGAAATTTTGAGGCAAAAATGGATGGAACTAGAAAAGATCATCCTGAATGAGGTAACCCAGAAGCAGGAAGACACACATGGTGTATACTCACTTATAAGTGGATATTAGCCATATAATATAGGATAAACATACTAAAATCTATAGTCCTTAAAGAAGCTAAACAAGGGGGACCCTAGGGAAGATACTTAATCCTCATTCAGAAGGGCAAACAGTATGGACTTGGAAGTGAGAGAAGACAGGGAACAGGACAAGAGCCTACTACAGAGGCTCTGAAAGAATCTACCCAGCAGGATATCAAAGCAGATGCTGAGATGCCTAGCCAAACTTTGGGCAGAGTGCAGGGAATGTTATGGAAGAAGGGGGAGATAGAAAAACCTGGAGGGGACCAGGAGCTCCATAAGGAGACCAACAGAGCCAAAAAATCTGGACCTGGGAGGGCCTGCAGAGACCAATGCTTCAACCAAGGACCATTCATGAAAAGAACCTAGACCTCCCCCCGTCAGATGTAGCCCATGGCACCTCAAATCTCCAAGTATATTCCCTAGTAAGGGGAGCAAGGGCTGTCTCTGACATGAACTCAGTGGCCAGCACTTTGATCACTTCCCCCTGAGGCGGGTGCAGCCTTACCAGGCCACAGAGGAAGAGGATGCAGCCAGTCCTGATGAGACCTGAGAGGCTAGGGTCAGAGGGAAGGGGAGAAGGACCTCCCCTATCAGGGGACTAGGAGAAGGGCATAGGAGGAGAAGAGGGAGGAAGTGTGGGACAGAAGAAGAAGAAGAAGAAGATTGACTAGGAGTTCTCTACGCCCACACACAGTCAGGGAGTAAGCACCCTTACCTGTGAGCAGGAGCCCCTGCCAGGGGGCACACCCCTTGCAGGAAATCACAGAAGATGCCTCCATCTCTTTTCTCACTGTGACGTCCTCTGAGGAGAAGAGCTTCAGCTCCAGCAAGGCCTCTAGCCTCTGCTGTCCTGCCTCACTCTGAGGTGATCTTATTCTCAGGCAGAAGCACTTCCCAGAGTCCCATGGGCTGTAGGGGGTGGGGTCTGTGTCCAAACCACTGCTCTGTTCATTCCATTCTGAGGGCTGCTCCACATCCCTCTCAACTGTTCTCTCCTTACATTTATCCTCTGCGCAACACATTGAGAAACAAGGCTGATAAGCATCCCCTGCCCTCAGAGAACAACAACTCATCCCAGGGCTGACGTCTGCTGTGTCCTTGCCTTGAGTCTGTCAGCACCAAAGAGGGAGTCTCCATCCTGACTACGTGTCCAGAGACACAGCTGAACACCAGTCTTCCCCATGTCCTCAGTGCTCTGGGGAGGTGGGATTTCCCAGCAGGAAGATGGCAGAGATACCTCTGAGGGCTGAAAAGGGACCAGCTGAGTGATGACTAAGGATGAAGATCAACCCTTTATCACTAATGTCACCAGTCAAATTCCTGATCCAAGAGAGAGGCCCAGGAGCAGTTGTGTGAGAAATTTCACATCCTTGGTGTTAGGGAAGAGGTGGTCCGTGTGTCCTGGAAAGGACTGTGGGCTCCCTCTTCCTACGGAGGGTTTCAAGGCAACCTTCCAGTATTATGCGTTGGCTGAGATGTGTGTTGGGAGAGCCCAGGAACTCTCTGATCACTTCTGCCCTTTGTCTGGGTGATTTCCCTGCAGAAATTCTGTCTTCTTCTATAGGAGATGCCCGGAGGGAGGGGACTGTCAGGTTCCCCAGACAGAGGGGTGTTCTCACACAAGAGAGACAGAGCCGGGTCTTGGGAGGGAGCTCCAAGTTAGTAGAGACAGTGTTGGACACCAATCTCCTAGGCAAGATCATGGCTTGGGGAACAATTTTCTGTGTGTTGAGTGTGTGTCCTGATATCACTGGGAGAACTGCAGTCTCATGTCCAGGCCTCCAGCAGGGATGGTCAACAGAGCCCTGATCCCGGCAGCACAGGTGGGGTGCAGGGCCTGTCACCTTGCTCACTGTGCTCTCCAGAACTCCTGATTCCATCCAGAGTAAGGTGGGTCTAGACAGGGTTCCAGGTTCTTCCTGGGAATCCCTGGGCTAATGTTGGAAGAAGTGTGCATCCAGAGGATGGGGACCCTAGAAAAGGGGGAGTTTGTGCCCCCAGAAAGGTCCTAGGACATTTGCCTTGAGAGTCAAAGGAGAAGACAATGATGGAAAGGGCTGCACCTACACTCACAGGTCCATCTTTGCTGTCGAAATCCTTCCTTCTTTTTGCCCACAGGGTGCTGAGGGGGTCTGCTCTTGAGGTCAGTGGACATTGACAAATGGATGTGTCATTTGCTCTTCCCTCTACACTGTTCTAGGGCTCTTTCTTTCACTGTGATTAAAAAAAAAAAAAACACCCTGAGCAAAAGCAGTTTAGGAGAGCAAAGGATGAATTTCCCTTCCAGGTCTGGATCATAGTATAGCACTGAAGGAAGCTGAGGAAGAAAACATGCTGCTTGCTGCCTCATGTGCTGGCTTGATCTCTGGCCCATGCTTAGCCAGCTCTCTTATACAACCAAGGTTACCTTCTGCCTAGGGATGGTGCTGCCCACAGTGGACCCTTCTGCATCACCTAAGACAATCCCTCACAGACATGCCCACAGCCAGACCTGATAAGGAAGTTATGCAGTTGATACTCTTTCCCACCACCACCCCAGGTGACTTGTGGCTGTGTCAGTTTGACAGTTAAGGCGACTAGGACACTGTTTCAAAGTGCTGTCTTTCTCCTCCACAGAGAGACTACAGAAATTGCCTCCATTCTCCAAGTAAGTGTTCCTCTCTTCCCTGCAGTCTTCACATGGGCTGGTATCCACAGCCCCTCACAGCCGGATCCTGGCTGAGTCAGGACACCACTCAGGAGGAGCATCTACAATACTTTCTTTTCCCACTTCCATGTCCCTGAGCCCAGGAACATTCTCATGTCTACCACAAACATTGTGAGGAGTAACTGAAACACATCTCCAAAACGTAAATATCATCCCGACTCAGAATAGGCCTTCCAGGCATGCACAGGCCTCTTCTGGCTCCAACTGAATCAGAGCAGAAACCGGTCACCAGCTGGGACAGGATCGGAGCATTTGGAGTACAAGAACATGAGCGTGGTTCAAGACTCTGGGTGGTCCATCCGGGTCATGGAGGGTGGAGATCATGAAAGCAGTGGAGGGGACAGGGAGGCCTGAATCAGTGCCTGGGAGAAAAATCTAGTTGACCTTAAGTACATTCCTCTCCCTGGGAAGGTCCTCCGACTTGGAAAAATATCCTCACTCATATTCCAAGACCAAACCAGGGTCACCCAGAAGAAATCAGAGATGCAAGGAGAGAAGGAAGAAATGGAGCGGGAATCTCCTGAGAGGATTGGGATTTGTTTGGGCCCATGGGGCACAGGCTGGGAATTTACCTCTGTGTCTATCCGTAAAGCTTAGGTTTCACCCCAAAGTTCAGTGCTGACATTTCAGAGCTCCTGTTACCAAGACCTGTAAGTTTCTCCACTGTGGTCATACCGAGTCCAGTGGCAGAGTTCTGGGTAAGGGAGATATGGGACCTGCTATTAGGAGTAGTGATGTTGGGGATAAAGAGCTCTTGGGAGGGTGACGGGGATTTCCCCTGAAGCTAAGAGTACTGAACAGGTGGCTGAGTGGCTGAATGGCAGGAGACATTAAGGTTTGGCTCTGGATGAAAATGAATATCTGAGGGGGATACCAGCAGGACATCGTCACCATCTAAATCAAAGAGGATAAAGCCACATGTGACGCCAGCAGAGCAAAGAGGAAATCCTGGTCTGTAGAAGGCTATGTTATCTGTGCTATAACCCTAGTTAAGCAAGTCCCAACCAGAGCTGGGGTGTAGATTAGTAGAAGAACACTCATAAAGCATGCACAAGGCCCTGATCCATTTTCAGTACACACACAGAACATCCCCACTGGATACTCATGTGTGCCCTGAAGCTGAGTCTGACATGTTCCCTGTGTTGCCATCACCCTGAGCCTCTCTAGGCAGAATTCCCTCCAGACCATTCTAGGTCAGTGCTGGGCCTGGCTGCAAATGCTTAGGCTACACCAGGATACCCTGGTGTGCCTAGATATCTGTGTGGTGGCTCTGTGCCATGAACCCAAGAAGAACTGAGCGTACTGGCTCCAGCCCTCTGTGTTTAGGCGGTTGCAGCAATGATGGGACAGAAATTACTCACAGGTAATATTCAAGTTAAATGGGTCACTCCACGTGGCACTCAGGCTCCAGATTTGACACTTACGGGGTCCTATGTCAGTTGTGACACTGAATAAGTGAGAGTCTTGCTGCCCTCCTCCAGCTTCAGCCTGTCACCTTCTAAGACGCTTTGACTATTTATCCTCCACATGTGGGCTGTATTCTAGGTCTCAAGTTTTTAAAGCATCCTCCACGGGGTTAGAATCATTGCTTGTGACGGTGGCCTTGGCTATCAGTGCTGTGCAGACAGCAGAGAGAAGATGGCCCCCTGTGAGACCTCTGATCCGTGCAAAGGCCTAGTTCAACCAGTATTGGTCTCTCTGAACTCCAGCCCTAATCCAAGTCCTTAGAGAACCAGGAAGAAGGTGACTCAGGCAGAAGCAGGAGGACCTGAGTGCTCAGAGATGGTGGCTCTCCTGTGCTGTGTGGGAGAAACAGGCTTTGCCACATGTGAGCTAAGCTGCAGAGCCTGATGGTGCAGACTGAGAACCTGGGAGTCAGAGCCCTGGTTTCTCTCCTGGTCCTCACTGACCCACACGCCACCAGCTGCTCAGTGTCCCTCCAGCTACACTGACCTCCTCTGCTGAGCCTGGGCCAGCGCCCTCCGAGGCTGTACTACAGATTGGGCAGAATTAGACTGCCCACTGAGCCCCCTTAGCAACATCCACAGCCTGTCCTCGGGAATGGATGTGTACACAGAAATCCTACAGGAGACGAGAAACAAACCTGCCATTCAGATCCCTCCCCAGGCTAGACCATAACATGGACCAATCTTCACAGGTGTTTCGTGGTGACTGACATGAGACACAGGGCAGAAAAGGGTAAAGGATGAGCCTCAGAATGATCTAGGGGACAGGAGAATATGGAATATAGGTGAGCTTCAAACACAATCATTATTTTTCTTCCTGGCCTATAATGCCGTATCTCCCACAGGTGAGGACAATGCAAGGATATTTCTTAAAACGCAGGTGTCTTTTTTCTTTAACTTTTTATGTGCATGGTTATTTTGGCCACGTGTGTATCTGTGCACCACAAGAATGCCTGGTGTCCACAGAAGCCATAAGGGAGCATTGGATTCCCTGGAACTGGAGCTACAGATGATTATAAGGGGCCATGATTGTGTTGGGAACTGACGTTGGGTCCTCTGCAAGAAAATCGGTGTTCTAAACCACTGAGCATCTCTCCAGCCCTCCCAGGTGGCTGTGTTCAGAGGCAGATCTGACTGGTAGAAGGCAGAGAGCAAGAACTTGCTGGAACTACGGCCGGAAGGGGCAGGTGTGTTTGGCAGGTCTGGGCTAGGAAGAAGAGACACTAACTTTCTCCTTAGAAGATCACTGTTACTAATACCCGGGACCTAGGATCAATCCCTGTGAGGATTAGCTCTCTAAAAATCAAAATGTATTATGACGAGAGGCAGGTGCCAAGGTTGTCTGAAATCAGCGACCCCTTGTATTACGTACAGGATCTACTGAGGCAGGGAGAGCGAAGCCCTGTCCTTCACCTTCCTGGAGGAGTAACAGCGCACGGCAGAAAACACGTGATTTCCTGTCTAGTACGTGGCGTGCAGAGTCCTGGAATTCCACAGAAAATCTCTGGAGGCGAATGGCCTACTTCTGCAGTCAAATGTAACTGTGATGTTCCCTCTAGCTGCTTATGAGCAAGATTAACATCAGCTCCTCCCTGCTCCACGGGCG